ATAAAACGGATGCCCCATTTTTCTAGGCTCAAGAATGTTATCACATATCATAGTTTATTTGAATTTGTTTAGACAACGCTGTGGAGTAATTTATTGCTTGGTTTTAGGATTAGGTGTCGTTTTTGGACTCCTAAATTTAGGACACACAAATATCTCTTAAGACTTCTTGATTACAGCTAGTAATTTTATTGCTTCTCCTTTTCTTTCAAGCTATTGAAGAGAATAATTCGTTCAAATAAAACATTTTAACCGTTTAAAACGCGATATGTATTAGTTAAACCTATGAACAAATTATTTTAACTGCGTCCCGATATTTCTAACCACGACTGCTTTAAACTATCCTAAACGCCGTAGTTAACATATTACATGTTTTAAACTATTAAAGTGTTTTATTTTAATTTATTTATATTGAAAAAAATATACGACAGGGCGGGATTTGAACCGGCATCGACAACGTTCCGTGCTGCTGCTCTACCCAGATGAGCTACTTTTTATTTTGAATTTACATAATCGGTACCATGAAGAGCAATGACTTGTAAAATGATTTAAACAGATCTAATAATACCAGTTTCAAAGTCCAAAATTTCACAATAGTTTACAATATAAAAGTGTTTCAAGCAAATACGATAAAACTGATTATTTTGAAATTAATACCATTTCAAATAGCAGATGATTAGGTAGTCGAAATAAACACTTTTGCTAAACCAACAAGACAGACAAACAGATTTGATAACATTTATTGCATAGCTTTCTATATTTATAATGTTTTTGTAGATTTCGTGTTTTTCTGATTTATGGTATGTTGTCTGTAAAATGTATAATAAACTAAGATATCGCGTTTTAAACCGTGAAAGTGTTTAAAGTGCACATATATATCTAACTATACAACGATGTATGACCAAAGAAGGATTCAAACCCGCTATCAATACTGATATATTAAATAAACAATAACTATTTTGTTACCCCTTTTCTCTGCTCCAAATGATAAGTTGGTTGTCGTTTAAAAAAAGGAAACTTTATTTTATTATAATCTCCTTTTTAACGTCTTTTTTTTAAATTCTATCAAACAAAAATTTTAACAAGCCAGATAACGATGTATTATGCGTTTAAAACCATTAAAATGCCTTTTGTGAAATACCCCAGCCATATACAATCTAAACAAGATGCGCTGTCGTTCTTTTTTGACTTTGGATAATCGGAAATCCACAGACTGAAACCTTTCGGTTTAAACTTCACAACCTTTTTATCTGTAAACGGTTTTTGACCTGGATGTAATTTTGGTATTCCTATCGCTCACGTATCCAAATTTCCAAACAAAGTCCAACATGTTTCAGAATAATAATAAATCGATTAGAATAGTGTTATCGACTGTAGTTCTAAACATTGATAAATTTTGATGTCCACTGTAAGTAGATGGGTATATAAACGTATAAAACGTACAAAATAACGATTATGAAATTACACCAAACAAACAGACACTGCAACTGTACTTATTTGTATAGATAGTGGAATGATAAGTTGTCAGTCTCGCTTCAACCTGTATATTGCCTTAAAACAATGTTACAGTAATATTAATGTCAAATAAAGCAAAGAACAAACATTTATCTCGACGATTTGCACAGGCGACGAACTGTTTGAGTTAGTTAATTTTGTTATTGCTCGGCGTACAATGTTGCAGGTTGACAGGTAGGGCTATCTACTATTTAGCAATTTCTACAATTTACTAACAATAACACCTTCCCAATATATAAAATATTGATGGACACAGCTTATATAGATCAAGAATCAAGCAGTAGGTACAACAAACAGAACGAAAACAAATGCCAACTTACATTTTACGTAAGTCCTGTCCCGTTTAAAACTAAATTATTTCAAACAGCAAGCACAATAGTGTAATCTACTTATATATAGATATTCTGTAATTATAAGATTCTATATATGAACACAAAAAATGTCCGCTATACGTTGTAAATCCTTACTTGATTTCTTTTAGTTAGTTTAAAATTAGTCTATTTTTCATGCATGTATGTATTAAATCCGTGATTGTATAATTTATAATAGGTAATAATGGGGATGCATTTTAAATTTAATTTATGTCAAACCGTGTTTTGTCTAAGGAAAAATAGGTATATCGTGCGGACGTTTCTTAATCAATAAAAAATATCTTTTGATAGAATTTTTTTATGAACTATCATGAGAATTAATGGAAGGTTAATTAAAATAAAAAGTTGTAATTATAAATTAAATTCTAGCCCTGTAACAATTGCATGTAATTTGCGTGTAAAATAAATGTTTGCTGAGCAATTAATGGAGAAATTACGGTTTATTTTGAATTTTATCTATGAAATCCTCACAGCGTTTGTCATCGTATGATATTAGATATTGTACAAGTGACGTTCGATGTGTTGCTAACTTGCAAATGTTGACATAACTACTTCTAACATTAAACTAAGTTTCATGATGCATTCATAGTATCGTAAATATATTCATCGCTAGAGCGATAGTAGCCTAACTGCAATTTTATGACTTAACTTATTAATATTTTTTTAGCCTAGAATTAATTAAAATTGGAAATCATATTGTTTGTTATTAGGACACTCAGCCTCTAGCAGCCTCATATTAGATTTCAACCGATTCAATTCCCGATTAAAACCATTAAAATTTTATTACCATTGAACATGGCTGCTTCATAGCATCCGAAACGTCGCGTCGGGTAGTTAAAATGCATTTAATAAAATAACTAATGTATTTCGCATATAAACCGTTAGAAATGTTTTATTTAGTGTATAATTGTTTTATTACACTCGCGTAAGCTACGTATTAGATTTGTATTTTCTTGTTTGTAACCTGTAATCCTCTTTTTCAATTTTGGACATGATTTCGACAAGATTGAAATTATAATCTGAGCACGAATGGATGTAACTTAAATTTTTGTTAAAATATAAATAAAATAACAAACGCTTGCAATTTGTAAAGGATCGTATCTAATCTTATATCGCTGTTCAATAATAAACAGAAGTGTTTATGATATTAATAAAAAAAAATAGATTACTTACTAATTAAGGGTATATTGGTTTGGTATATTATGTGCCGCCTTCGCACAAAGATTTATTTATTTTTGTGTCTGTATTCTACTTCGGTGTCAATATGTTTGTGTAATAGAAAGTTTTATTATTATTATTATATTGTAAGAATTTGAAGTAAGGATGTGTGGTAAGCGAAGTGAAGGTAAGCTTTACTATGCTTTGTACCAAGTGTTGTCTAATTGCAACTAGCACTTATTTATGTCAAAATGTTGGTTAAGACAGGAAGTTAAGGGGGTCCCTCTGACATACAATGGATACATTAAAATGATAGAATTTGTCAATAGCAAACTCTGCTTAAAGAGTGGCAGATTTTTACTGTTTCTTGTTTGGCTTACGCCCTCTATTTTAAAACTGATAGTAAATGTTAAATACTGTCTGTAGTTTACGCGAGTACTACACATTTAAATAAAACACTTTTTCTTTATAAATAAAAAACTGCAGCAGCCGGAACATTGGGCCGTAGTTAAAAATAATTTTCAAACAAGTTTAACTAAAATATATGGCGTTTTAAACCGTTAAATTGTTTTTATTTAAATGATAGTAAATGTTAATTAAACGTCTTTTGCTTTTAACTTGACTATTGACTTCATAAATGTACATTGTTATAATTAGTTAGATACGTAGAATTTATTTTATTGAACTTTAAAAATAAACAAATACAAATGCGCTACTCGCTTTTTTAAGTTTAAATAGTTTTGGCGCCACTGAATGGATGAATGCCGTAGGTATACTTATTTTTCTATTTAAAATAACACCAACCTCGCGAATAAAGATCAAATATTTAGATGACTTTTAAATAAATGATAAATAAATTTATAATTTTTAATGCTTTTTTATTGTTTGATTTCTGTATTCTCCTGACTGTGCGTTTCTGTGGCTATATAAATTAAAAATGTACTAATAATATATATTTTTATTAAAAAAAAAACTTAACTGTAAAGAAAATTTGTGATTTCAAGTGGCTAATGATTTTTTATTAAATATGTGTGATGTTACTATTATTTTTTATATAATTGAACTGATACTGGTTATAAGAAAATAGAAGATCTAAATGGATATTTTCAAACTTCCATTTAATACATTTATTTTTTGACAAGTATGAATTGTATACTGATAGATATCTTTTTAGAAGAAAAAGGCGTTTCTTCTGCCACAGGCTGAAGGTATTCGTACTTTTAATGTTATTAAATAAAATAATGTATAGTGTTGATATTTTATATGTTTAGTTTAAGTCTTAGCTAACAATAGATACAAGAAATTACACTACAGATTAGTAATAATATACAGGTAATATTTGGCAAAATAGTCACTGGAATAACTCTACCTATTAGCTACTCTATAATTTATTATTAATTTTACAAATATTTACAATATATTATTATCTACTTTGTACAGAATGACTAGACATATACTTAGAATCGCAACTTTTTCAACTATGTAAGGATTAAATAAATCCGATAACTTAACAATTAAATGATAAATCATTTGATTCTGAAATTTTGATAATACTGGCATGTAACAAAAAATGAAAACAAAAATAATTAACGATAATACTGGCTGCACAATAAAAAATATTATAATTGTGTTCTATATTTAAAATACTAATATTTCCAATATGGAGCTGTTTAATCAAAGTTGCGATATTCATAATAACTATAGTGCCACATAACACTTCGGACGAAATTTTAAATAAGTACATTCATTTAGGCTACTTGAATCTTAGTGAACGAAAACTATCTGTTAGTACTTACAATTACATGAGATGCAAAAATAGGTAAATAGTACTGGTAACTGGTGGCTTTGGTCGTGAGATTTGGCATTTTCACTGGACATTTATATTACATTTTATACATAGGTCCAAGTCTTACGTCGGGACGTTTAAAAATAATTTGCAACGCACCCGTTCTGATACATTCACCTGGCCCAATCGTCCGGCGGACTATTTCCCGAATGGAGGGGGGAGAAAGCACTATGCCGCGGTTCGGCCTCTGTATCCTGCGATCCTATTATCGATTCTATCGAAAAACCGTTTCTCGATCTCTTGCTGCGTGTGTCAGTTGTTTCTGGAACTCTTGGCGGGAGAGGCACGGGACGCAACGCGGCCGGCGGCGGACGCGGTAACGACAGCAGCGGCGTCGGCGGCAAATAACATGGTAGCGGCAATAGAGGGGCATAAGCTTCCCTCGCCAGCATCGCTACTACAGCATGAGCGTGCTGCAGCGACGGCGCTGGACGCTTGTACCTCTTCCGTCTGCGCAGAAAGCTCCCGTTATCAAACATGTCTTCCGCCAGCGGGTCCAACGTCCAATAATTCCCTTTCCCCGGATTCCCGGGCTCCCTAGGTATCTTTATGAAGCAATCGTTCAGGCTCAGGTTGTGCCGAATGGAATTTTGCCACGCGGGAAACTTTTCCCTGTAGTAGGGGAAACGAGTCATGATGAACTCACAGATTCCGCTCAGAGTAAGCTTCTTGTGGGGGGATTGGAGTATCGCCATCGTGATCAGCGCTATGTACGAGTACGGCGGTTTAATCAGCTGCGACGAAGACTTCTGCTTGGGTTTCTTGGGAGAGCTGGGCTTCGTGTCGATGGGGCTGGACGCGTCGTATCTGTCTGAGTCGCTGGACGGCGGCGGGTGATCGGGGGTGTCCTCGTCCACGGATACATAGGTGTCGTCGTGTTGGTAGTCGTCTCGGTCGTCGCGGAGGTAGTGCGGCAGGTAGAGCCTGGGGGGCGGCCGCAGGTCCAGGGGCAAATCGCCTTCGATGATCATATCTCGGTACCGATTGAGATCACAATCTTCCATGTCGGCACATGTCAGAGGTGCGATGCAGCGCGCGGCGCGTCACGGACTGCACTGCCGAGCGCCGGGGCCGAAGCGCCCGGTGGAGGTCGCGGAGGCTCCGCCCCACGCAGGGGGACCCACTCCACGGGTTTACGTTTCAGTAAACACAACAATTGTCGTTATTATTACTGCGGGTCGGAGCTTTGTGCATGAATTTCAGGCCGTTGACTAATAATTATTAGTCTTCGTATCGATTCAACTTTGTCACGGAGTTTATTTTCGTATTTGAATACGTTTTTATAACACGCGTCTTAGATTCGTGATTTAAACTGTTTCAGATTTATGAATAGTTTATCTTTTATTGAAATCTTTAATAAACTTCAATATTTAATAAATTGTAAAGATCTAAATTAATACAAAAAAAATCTAAGGAATAATTGAATAACAAAAACGATATGATACATTATAGTGTATAACAATATATAATAAAGAGTTAATGTGTACATATTTATATAATATTAGGTAAGTCCATTGTTATTTACTAAGGATATATATAGTTTGCAGTTTACGTTAGTGGTACGGATTTAATTAAACACTATAAAGTAACAAAGGAAATTAACCGATATATTGCGCGTTTTTAATCGCTAATATTTCATGAAATATACATATTTTATACGAAAAAAATCCACGCTGTACAAACGTACAAAACCGTGAAAAGAATCACGTGAGCGTGCAAAGGAAACGTTTACGGAGGTACGTATAGCGATCCTCTAATCCAGAGCTAAAGGACTGTCTATTGAAAAAATCTCATAAAGGGAAAATTCTTACACACCATTCAGGTATCTTCAAATAGAACGAGCTTAAAAAATATTCTCTGCGCGAGCCGTTCCAACAATACGCGGCTCCAGACCCTCGTGTGTGTTTCCTACCAAAACATTTACCCCTCGGGCGTCGGAGGAAAAGCTACGCGCGGAGACGAGAGGGAAAAGCGCGAGAGAGGGAGACGGGTGGTGGAAACGGCCAATGGGGAAGGGCGCCGCGCTGGGCGGGGCGCGCCAAAGCTAAAATGTCAGGGCGGAGCGATAGATCCTATTATTGTCTGGCAAGGCAAATAATATTTTGCACAATGTACACATTGGGTACAGGGGGGGTAGGTGGTTGCTAATTTATTCTCAACTTCGGTTACGGGTTGTTTTTCAGCTTTGCGAGGTTGTTATTTAAATTGGACGCTGCCAGTTATTTGTATGTTGCCGTCTGTAGGTATTGTACTGTAATGAAGGAATTTTGCGTTTGTTTGCCGTTGAATTTTGCGATCTTGCCGCGACGGCTTGAGTGTGGATCTTTTTTGTCTTGCGTTTGTATGCTGTGAGTGTGCTTATTAGTGGTGGCTATTACTATGTACAATTTGATATTATTAAAAATACACTTTCTTTTACCAACAAATGATATATTATTCTATATCTTTCTAAATTTTTGATAGGTACTTAGATACTTAGCTTTATAACACGGAAAAAATCAATCTATTTTAAAAAGTTACTGCTATTGCTTGGTAGGATAAGCAAAGTAGCATTATAATATATTTACTTTATGTTTTAATATTATCAGTAGGTAGTTTACGCGAATAGTTTACTTTTTCTTAAAACACCGTTTAAAAGCGCGAAATACCTATATTGATTAAGTATAAGTACTTTAAATTCACTACGGCTACGAGCTATAACCAAATTTAAGTTAATGTATTCAATTCAATGTAAACTATAACGAATATATTTCGCGTTTTAAACCGTTAAAAGTGTCTTATCTTAAATTGAAACTATAAAAATAATATAGAAGAAGATGCGCTGTCGACCTTTGGCTTTGAATATTGGGAAATCAAGAGATGAAAGAAAAGCGCCTGAACTGTACGCCTTAACATTTGTGAATGGAGATATATATATATAATACTTTTGAAGAGTCCAACGTTTTTCTAAGCAATTTATAACATTTCTTAAACATCGTCTGGAGATCAAGACATTGAATGGAATCGAAATTCCGTCCGGATCGAGAACCATCAACTACAAATGAATAAGCCGCTAGATTTAAACGCGGTTTTAATCTGTGGATTTCCGAACATTTAAAGCCAAAGAGGTGGTTAAGATATTTCAAATACCATCAAGTTATGATTGTCAGCTCTCCTCCAAAAATATGATATGCTCCAAGTTGTTACGAGAACTTACAACAGAGCTTCGATATTGAGAAAACCAATCTTTACTACTTCGCTCGCTTTCGCTTGCCTAAACATTAGAAACTCCAAGTACTCGCATGTCATAAGCCCACAAAGGAAAGGCTAATCTTCGTGAGCCAGATTATCTGGTGTACAGAAATGTTTGCGCAGATCCGGCCATCTTTGACGGATTATGAAACCCTAGGCTTGTTGGCTCTTAGCTTACGTTCTTTGGAAGAATGCAAAACATGTTTGTGTTTGCGTCTGCTACTACGTCTGAGAAGGGTTAGTCTGTAGGCTAAATAAAGTTACTAACTACTTACCAATCAGTGTACTTGAATAATGAAGCTGAAGAGTTTGTTTGTTCGAACGCAATAATCTCAGGAGCTACTGGTTCGAATTGAAAAAATATTTTTGTCGTGGTTAGAGCATTTATCGGGGAAGGCTTTATGTTATAAAACATCGGGAAAACTTATTCATCTTTGAGGGTGCAACAACGCTTCAAGATAATCAAAAATGTTTACGAAGTACTGAGAATGTCCGCGACATCTATCTCTAAAGAATAACTTCCAAGAACGACGGGACGCGACATCGTGGGTAACAGCTACAATAGGTAATTTATAATGTTAGTAAGAAGGTTTAAAAAAACAAATTATGTTGCCTAAAATAACAATTTCACGCAAACGAAGTGTTTCAACCTATAACTATGTCATTAAACTTATATAAATTATTGTAGCATAGCTTGCCTTACCTTGTTGTAACATATTTATTTGTTACACATTTTAGTCAAAATGTACTTAGAACATTTAATTTGCGAAATACCTATCATACCTTATTATTATTATTATTTGAGAAAATTACTATTAATTAATGAATATGTAAATAAAAATGCGAAGGTGTTGATCCTAAGCTTATTTTCCAAAGAATAATTCAATTCCCTGGTGCTCTTTCTGTCTTTCTTATGGTGAATGTCGGTACTAAGTATATTTTATTTAATAAGCACGCTTTTATTAAACACAACAGTGGCTTTATAAAATCTATATATATATTGGGTACTTACAGTAATAATTTATAATGTTTTTAGATTATTCTTCTTTTAAACTTTTACTCTTCAACCGTTTTGGGTTTTTAAGATATAAAATAATTTTGTAGCAAAAATCTTATACAAACGTTAATTTAGATAAACTCCAATACTATATACTTATTATTATATACAAATTTAAACACCAAATTTTTGTTTCAAATTTTATTAAACCAGTAATTATTACAATAATTCTAATGTTATCTGGGTAAAGAGAAAAATTAAAGATGATTCATTTTCAATGTTCTATTCACATTTCCCTTTGTTTCTTTGCCATATTAAATACTGTCTATAGTTTACGCGAGTAGAAAACATTTAAATAAAACACTTTAACGGTTTAAAACGCGATATATTAGTTAAACTTATTTGAAAATGATTTTATAACTTAGGCCCGACGTTTCGGATGCTATGCACTCAGTCTCCCCGTGACCACGGCGGAAAAAAATCATTTTCAAATAAGTTTAACTTATATATCGCGTTTAAAACCGTTAAAGTGTTTTATTTGAATGTTGGCCATATTGTTCGCAGTCTAATATTTTCCTTTTAAGCCTTCATCAATGAATGGTCAACAAACATTAAAATAATTTCTCAGTAGTTCCTAATATAAACGCGTGCAAACAAACAACGAACTTCTACATACTAAAGTCAAGGATTTAAAATAATATTAATGTAACCAATGCCCTCTATTAGTAATCCAATAAGACCTATTAGCAAATAAGCGCCATCTATTATAAGTTCACAATACTACAAAACCAAAACACACTATTGCCGTGAAAGGCATGGTAAGATATTTTTGTATTAAGTCATAGATGGCGTTGTGCACAAAATCTTAAAATGTTTTTCTAAACAATATACAAGTTACTTGAATATAAAATAGTAGGCAATCAATATAATGTTTGTACTTATAATAATGTAAGTACTAAAGTTTTACCTTGGTTGTTATTTGACAAAAAAGGACAAAAGGTTTTTTTTATGCACTTGATTTCTATTTCAGTCTCTTACAAAAAGCTCATTAAAGACCATTAAATTTCTCATCTATTCGTCATAAATTCACCAAAGTTATTAATTAATGATTATGATTATTTTCTATTAATAAACAATTAATTAATTATTTCATTTAATCATTACCTTCGATATTAGTAGAGGTCTGACTGTTAAGTTTCGATTAAGTAATTAAAAAAATACTGTTCTACGAATTATTTTCCCCTCTTTGGTTTGTAATTACATAAAACATGCTTTCTAGTTGGTTTAATAACTATTAAACCCATAATAGAACAATATTAAATATCTCCTACTTTTAACGTTAATTATTAAATATATATTATTTTAAACATTATAATATATTACTCCAAGATAAACTTATTAAAAAAAAATATTTCTTACATAGTTAACTATAAAGTTCATCAAATACAAAATTAATCTCTTTAGAAATTCTTTCCAAAGATTTAAAGATTGTAATCGACCTATTAAAATACGAATATAATTTAGTAATAAGGACAAAATGGCCTGTTAAACACATTTAAATAGAGCTGTTCATGTGGATCTAGCATGAAAGAGGTCAGTAATTAAGCAAAACTAAGTATATAATAATTAAACATTCTTAATCCGTCTAATAATATTATTGTAACATAACAATAAACAAGCGTACAAGTAGCCGTTTTTTGTTCCATTGCCGACTTCTGTAGCCGGCGACGCCAGTCACAGCGCGCATGCGCGACGCGTTTGACGTGCCGTATTTGACAGTCCGTTTATTTTTCCAGTTTGTTTGACGTTTCGTACGATCGAGTCGTATCCGTTCAAAGTGAATTAAAATTATTTATTATTGTCGCGTGAATAACTTTATTTTAAATAAAAATGGAGAGAAACGAACGCAAAGCGAATTCGCGCACCCATTCGATTACCTTGGATCGTGATTCAAAGTTTTTATTGCGAAAAGTTGTTATGGATTTCGGGATACTTTTTATCGGTGAGTTTTGTTTATTATTTTTTGCTCGTTTGATGAGTGCGACATGTAACATCGCTTTTATCTAATTCACTATTAATTTACCAAATTGTTTTTATTCAAGAAGTAAAGATAAATAACATATTCATATGCATTTACGTCACGTTATATCAATATATAATTTTCCGTAAGCTTTTGAAAGGTAGATTGCATAGATGCGTATTAAATATCGCGGCCAACTAGATAATAATATAATTTATACATTATATACTATATATAGCCGTAAGATGGCATCTCTAAGATATATGGGAAAATATGTAGAAAATTATTATTGTTTTTACTTATGGGAAATAGTTATTAAATATACATTTAACCTAGTGAAAACTAGAGCGGAAACATGTTGTGTTATCCTTATCAACTACAATTTTTGCATTATTATCAACTCACAATGTCCTAAGCGAGGATTAGATGTCCTACACACTATATATATACTTCAAATTTGTTATATTACTATATTCAGTTTATTCTTTGTGTTTAGCTATACTAGTAATAAAAGGATAGACTATATTTATAATTAGTTTACTTTTTAACGGTAACCAAGTTTGTTTGATTATATTATACCAATATTTAAGCAAAGACGTCTTAGTGTGATCCATTTTTGGATTGCTTTTATAAATACTATTTTAAATATAATAATTACTTTCTTTCACACTTCCAAAAAGCTGATAAGCTAATTTTTTATTAATTAAATTGTTGCTAAAGGAAAAAGGTGTAATTTCATTTTAAGTCATGACCTCGATTGACTTACTACTTACCATAGTTTCAAAGAATTTGTCTTTATTATTTAATAAAAACGCTAGTTAAAAAATGTTTAAATACCCATCTACTTATAAATGGGTTATTTTAAGATAGAAAATTAATAAAAATATCATTTTAAAGTAGAAAACAAACAAACAAGATTGAGACACCTAAGTATTTTTTTTATAAGTGCTTTGCATTTTACTGCTTAATAAATCTGTCCAAAGGTAATATTTAAAGAATGATTAGTAGAATTGCTGTACAATTAAGTAGATTTTTCTAATTACGTAAAGAACATATGGTCTTTATTTAAATCAAGCTTTCTCCAACCTTTGTATTTCTTATCCTAAGCCACTCCTGTCACTCAGTACTTATCAATCCATCTCTTCCGGAGCCTTCTTTCGATCTCCATCAGTGTTTATAATGAATACGAAAACGCGATACGAAATTTATTCGACGAATGTAACGTATATTAACAGTTGGGTGCGTGTACTTGAATCAATCAATGGCCCCGTTGTGCGATGGGAACTTGGACAACGCGTGTGCAACATGCATTAATGCGCCAGTGTAAACTCGCTTAATGATTTTAATAAGACGCTCCACTGAAACGAAATGATTTGTTTGTTTGGACACTATTCGACACAATAATTTTTATGAATACAGACGAGTATGAGGTTTACTTAATGGACGGTGAAGTACAGTCATGTAACATCAGAACAAGATCCACAGACCGACTAAAACATGATTAAACCTCAGCTTTTTAATCTGTGGACGGTATTTCTACAACCCATTTAATATTTCCAGAATCATGATATTCACACGAAACTTCGTCTGTGTTAACCGTCATTATAAAACATTTTTCAAAAAATTGTAAATTGACTTGGAAAATACTGTCTATAGTTTACGCTAGTAGTACACATTTAAATAAAACACTTTAACGGTTTAAAACGCGATATATTAGTTAAACTTATTTGAAAATGATTTTTAACGTCTGCCCGACGTTTCGGATGCTTTGCTGCAGTCTCCCCGTGACCACGGCTGCTGCAAAGCATCCGAAACGTCGGGCCGAAGTTAAAAATCATTTTCAAATGAGTTTAACTAATATATCTCGTTTTAAACCGTTAAAGTGTTTTATTTAAATGACTTGAAAAATGTTGGGTCCAACCCACGACACGCTGATTATTATTCACACATTGCATCCATTCGACCAATAAGTCCGTCAAGGTCTAATAATTCGAAACAAATATTAAAATATAGGTTTCTGTGCCTTATCACGGCCAAGATAGAGAATAGATAAGAAAAATACATAACAAGACTTATATATTAATATAAATATATGTATATTAGAGGTATAATAATCAAGTCAAGTTTAACAACGTATAAATATCATTTGGATACGCTACAAATACAATTTCAATAATATTTTATTGAAATAAATAAATAAACTTTCATGAAATCAAAAAGAACATTAAGTTAAAAGACATTATAAAAAAGATCTTATCAGCTTTAAGTATATTATTTATTTTATCATTATAATAAAGGCCTGATATGGATAAGGCTTCAAAACTGTATTTTATAGTACTTTGTTGTTGAGAAATGAAATCACTTATTCAATTCCATAGTAATAGTGCTTATATTTAATTTAAATATAATTTAATGGCATTTAATTCTTCAATATTAACTTCTGATTTATATTCGGTCTTGATTGAATTCTTTATTGCCTTGACAAATATTTTTATTGTGTTGGATTTCAATTCATATTATTTCATAGTTTTCTTTTATATTAAAATATTTTTCGTATGGCGACTATTATCGACATCGTAATCTTTATTATAATAAAACATTAGGTTACGAACATAGTTTTTAAAAATACTGTTCAGTATTGTCTTTAGTATACGTGTATTATGTACATTGAAATGAACAGTTTTAATGGTTTAAAACGTGAAATATATAAGTTTAAATAAGTTGAATCTTTACATACATACATTCTTCTGATCTTTATTTATTACAGCTTTATTATTTATACTTAATATATACTACATACTACAGAAATTAAAAGAAACTTGCGTACGAACTTATGAATAAAAGGCGGCCTTATCGCTAAGCGGCGATCTCTTCCAGGCACCTTTATTAGAAGTATACAATAAAAATGTAACATGCCAAGTCACTTTTCCAAGCTTAAAGACGCAAGCGCTTGTTTCAGTGAAGGGGGGAAGAGGGGGGCTTATTTTATACGATTAAAGCAAATTAAAAATATAACTATCAACCAATAAAGGCCTGTAAAACAGCCATCGCGATTTATCTGTCAAAACGCGCTCGTTATCTGGCCAATTTAATCCCAGGTTATGTCAGGATGTGAACGCGCGAGTGGCAGGTAATTGGCCGGGTGTCAAAACATCCGACGATATTCGCCCGTCAGATTAACAGTATCCGCTAAGGAGCCCTACTGGGATTCGGTGAGGCCCCAGAAACGCTCGACGTTTGATTGGCAGGTGTAATGTCCGTACGGGTTTTAACATCGGGGGCCAATTCTCCACGGAGCGACATAAGATTGAAGAAGATGGAAGTCGTAAACCAGATCTATACTAATGTATAAAGCTGATGAGTTTGTTTGTTTGAACGCGCAAATCTCAGGAACTGCTGGATCGAATTAAAAAAAATCGTGTCGGTTAGATTTTTTATCGAAGAAGTTATATTATATTATACCTTTATATGAAGCTATAGCTTTATATATAGGCAATAAAAACATGGCGCTGTGACTAATAGGAGCTAAGGAACAGCGGAAAATGTGGAAAAAACGGGAAAAATTATTCATCCGTTGCGTACGCTACATATATTGTTCAAGATTCCAAGACAATATGTATGTAAGAACGATTCCTCTTTGAATAATGTAAAAACACGTGACTGTATATGACTGTGTTTTAAGATTAACTTACAAAACGACGAGACGCGGATGACGTCGTTTGTAACAGCCATAATTTATAAAGGGGATGAGGTTTTCAAAAACAAATGTTCTACGCAGACGAAGTCATAAGCACACCTAGTTTAAAATAAAAATCGGGACTTGAACCGGTATCCTCTGTTGCCCGTGCCCGTCTAACCAATTGAGCTACCGTGTCTGATATGTTTGACTATACGTGACGTTAATACGAGCATTATTGTATGAGAATGCTCTGAGGATAAATGGTACTCCGCACAGGTGGATTAAAATGATTGTCGGCTTCCATTATGGCGTGTGACTTGCAGTTCTGTTAGTCTATAGGTTTCATAGATAGTAAGTAATTATTATTATAACGTATTTTCTCGTAAAGTGGTTGTAATTACACCAATTTCAATATCGTAATGTATCTCATTACGTACTTGTGTGATAATGTAATGAAAAAGACACGTGTTTTTTTTTAATAAAGTTTAAAGATACTCCGTCTAAAAATGAACGATACTTTTAAAAATCTTAGCAAAGAGGTTTTATGTCAAGAAAGTGGTCAATATTTTATGAATAAAATTAACTTTGGGAAATAAAATATAACAAATAAACATTTAATTCTTTAATTTAATTAATTTTGACAATAATTTACAACCATTTATCTGTAACACAAAACAATTATACTGTATACAAAAATATTAATGTACTTTATAAGTAATACTGGCTGTTTTTGTACCTTTGCCTAAAAAAAAAGTTGATGCGCGCGCATCGGTATTTGTGGACAAGTAAAAATATATTTATATATTTTCGCTGTATTGTTGAAAATGTCGTCATTTCCTCGTAAATATGTTATAAAACGTCGTATGACATACGTGCGCTTTGAAAATTACAGCCTCTGCTTTCTTATAGCTATAGTAATATCGCCTCGGCTGTAATTTTCAACTTATCGCACTTATATCATAATGTACTATTATAGTTCTACAATTAAAATCGTATCTTCATTCTTAATGTTTTAATTAATTAACATAATTCGATCGTTGTAATCTGTTCAGTTTCATAGGAATTTAAGAACCAACGAAAGATATAAAAGCATCTATTATATTTTGATTTTGATAAAGCAATATTTTTTATTAAAATCAATTTCGATGGAATCTATTAATATTTACTGTATGACAAAAGCGAACAAGCAATATAATATTGTACCCGGCGGGAATCGATGTCGTGATTCGTTGATTGTCAGCCATATATTGCTACCAGTGGATCAAGGAGCCTATCACTTATATTCTAGTCTTTACTTGGTGTG